TCCAGTCCAAAAGTGGACAGTCGATATTTCCCTTTGTTTTGTAATGGGATCTTTCTACAGCTTCAGAATAACCCCAGATGAAACATCAGAACATGGCAAAAACCAGGTGGGAATGCCAGAATTAATGTCACCTCATTCTTCAAGAATATTGCACAGAACATGCCAGTGACAAAGGCATGGATTCAGTCTAGATGTTGAAGTTCACTCTGCTAAAATGACAAATTGATCAACATTCAAAGGAGGAAAGTGATCTTGACAGCAAAACGTGAAGACTCAAGGAAAGCAGAGCCTGACGGATGCAAAGGCATGGACCTGAGAGGGAGTTAAGGTCATTTAGGTAAGAAGGATCACCTGTGGCTAAGCCAGTTTGGGAGGGTGTTTGGTCTGCAGCTGTTTCTTGAATACTGAGTTTATATGTAGAAAGAGAATGTGAGTATAAGTAAATTATTTATAGAATTTGCTGCTTGCATGGGAGTGCTGGGAAGTGTAGTAGAGTAAATGTAGACAAAGGATAACCTCTCACAACCTGTTAAAGCTCTTATGACTGAATACTGCTTGCTGATGGTAGACTGTCCTTAGAAAAGGTCTGAGAATTCGGAGGCCTTAATGCAATATCTGGAAGCTGCAGAAAGTCTGAAAAGGAGTATTCCCTGCTTGTAGTGGCTTTCCTCAAGAGAAGCTGAAAGCATTTCCCCTGGACCTTGCTGTAGAAATGCTTACTTTGCAGTTAGCCAACATGCCCAGCTGCCTCACAGCCCGTGCTCCTGCAGCTTGCTTGCTGCTGTTTGCCTTAAGTAAGTCAGAATATTTCTAGTAACTGCAGTCATGCATTTAAAGTGCATTGAAGAGCTACTGCTGACCTGGCTGCTGATCTGAAACAGGCTAGACCATTTAACTTCAGGTGTGGAGTGATATTACCAGCAGATTCCACATCCGGCAAGAGTTCATCTCCTTCTGCAGAAAGGGAAACATTGAAGACATTGCTTTAGCAAAAAGCAGGTCTACTTTTTGCACTAACACAAACACAGTATGTGTTATGTTGTAGTGTTATGTTGTAGTTTAAGGATCTGGCAGACAGACCAACAACTTACAGACTGATACACCTGCAAGAGTGTACAGGTACTTGGAAGACTGCGTCCAGGAAGCAGGACTGGAAAAGTTTTGCTTCTTTCTTACATCAGGGAAATACCTAATTATGCAGCTTGGGCAGTTGAACAGCTCGATGAACAGTATAAAGAAAAATAGATTAAAAAATATCCAGGAAAATGGAGGCTAGTTAGCTCTTTCTTTTCTGATGGATCTATTAAATGAAATCATATTCTAGCACACAACTCTCAGCTATGATCTCACAACTATTAGTTAAGCTTGGTCATATGAAAATGCCATTTCTTTTCCCAGTAAGAAACAAAGGTTTGTCTGTAGCTTCTCCCCTGAGCCCCTGAGGGCTTGTGTGCTCAAGACTCTCTCATGTGCCGTTGGCTAATGCAATAGGCAGGTCGTAGTAGCATCCAATTCTTAACCTCTAAATCCCTATCCCAAAGAGGTAGATAACTTATGGTTCAACTGGCAGGGTGCAGTCTTCAACAATGCTGAGACACTACTTTAATTCATACCCCTTGAGCTATTACAGACATGCCACTGCATCCCTAAGAAACATACACGGATCATAAATAAGGTTAGATGTTATTTTAAGTAATAAACATTGAGATACAGAAGCTTCATTGCAGCCTTCTGTCTTCGCCTGTCTCTTCATTTCAACTATTTTTAGTTTGCAGTCAGCATTATGACTGTGAAATCAAGGAACACTTGGACAATAGGTACATAAATAATTATGGATAGGTCTCCAGAGCCTTAAACATTAGCAGAGAATTCAAGTTAAATACTGTCTGGGACTATTCAGTGGCTTGGAAATGTTGCTGTGCTTATACATATTGATATAATTTAATTTCCTATGGTGAAAAAACTAACCTGGACATTGGCAGTGGTGGAATGGTCCGCACAGAAGCTTTGAGAGTTGCAAATCTATGTATTACTGAACGCAATTCTGCAGAATGAGCTGGAGCCATCTTCTACGTTTGAGCTGGAGCCATCTTCTACGTTTGACTGCTTACACTTCACAACAGTGATCTCTGAGAACTTTATACAGGTTAAAACTGATTAAAGCTGTGTTATTACTCATTTAAGAGTTACCCTGCCTTGTGATAATACTGCAGTGTTGCTGAAACCTGTTTGAGATATTAACTGCTAGAGTTGTCAAAGAAAACATACTGCACATCTGCAGACATGCCTGAGAGTAAAAAGAGATATTTTTACTGGTTTTCCAATCCATATTTAAAATATGAGTTAAAAAAATAGCTTGTAAGGATGAAAGCTAAGTGTATATCAAGGGATACTGCATTGCTGTTGCTTTGGGTTGTGATAAAAAATGACAATAGTGAAGAAAGCTTGTGTAAACTACTGAACCTTTTTCAGTAACTTGCTTTTTCTGCATGTGTTTTTCAAAGACAGCTCTTTGATATTAAGTCACCCCTTGAAAAAGTCTCTTATGAAGTATTAGTTAAAGGGTGCAGAAAAGTAAGGCTTTTATGCAGAGATATAAAAATATTTTTTTTAAACATTGAAATTTCTATTTATGAAAGCACTATGCAGACATTGATGTTGGTAAGAATGTTGCAAAATTATCATGTAGATTTTCTCTGTTTGTTTTTATTTCCTTTTCAAAGTTTGTGAGAATAATTTGTTTTGATGTGTCTTTGGAGGGCTGGATCATGCAGGACAGTAACATAGAAGACTTTCACCTCCCTGGGTCACCCCTGCAAATGCAAGGGTAGGAAGAAATAGTAAAGGTTGAGTCCACTGAAATACAAATGTATCTCTGCAAATCTATAAAGAGAAGAGTGAGGACCAGTTAGGCAGAGAACTGATTTGAATGACAGCTTTGGTGATCAGGGAAGTTGTCTGCATAGCCTCCCGTTCCATGTTGTGACACTCTAAAATCAAGTGGGGGCCCTGGAATACATCACGAGCCAGAGCCAGGACTTTCTTGCTTAGTAATTAAAAGTCTCATTTTAAGAGGGCAACAAGACCTCAGGTCTTACCTGGGATTAAGAAAGGGGGAATTTAAATTCACATTCCCTGTTCTTGAAAAGTGTACTAGCTTCCAGGTGACAAGTCAGTCTTTAAACTTGTGGTGAGTTCACGTCTGTGAGAAGGGGAAGCCCTCCTCTTGCTGCTGCACCTGTGCCTGCTGGACCACTCAGGGATCACTGAAATGGCAGAAAACTGCCTCAGAAGAAAGGAAAAAATAGCAAACAAGACAGCATCCTGCCATTCTAGTGAGCTGAAGTGGCTTGAGGGAGCCTCTAAGCAGCCCAAGAACAGTGTAGAGGGAGCAGGAACACTCCTCTTTATGGCTGTGTGCAATTAAACCAGTACATCTGGCTTGTGAAATGGTGCTTAGGAGAATCTTCCCTTGATTCTGGGATTGCTGAGGTATGTTGAGCCTGAAGGAACACAGAACAGAGCAGAGCAAAAACCTAAAACCAAGTGTGAGTCTAAACTTCTGTTAGAGCATGTGCCTGGTGGTGTCCTGGTCACCTGTGACAGCCTGTGTGTCTTGTATTTCAATAAGCTGCAAATACTAGGCAGGAATTAGGTATGCTACCTAGAAGACTTCTGATTGGTACATGAGTGACAGAAGGTGAAGCTAACCATCCTTCTCAGGTAAAGTAAGTCTTCTATTTCACTCTCTGACTGTCAATCTCAGCCCCAGATCAGTCTCCTTTTCTACTTCTCCGCATTCTCCTTCTGTCCCAGTTTACTCCTTTTTTTATTCCAGTTCAGCTTTTATCTCCACTGCAATGGAATGCATCAGACCACACCTATAGAAGCAAACCACACTATAGCAGGTGTCTCACAGCTGTCTATCTCTGCTCCCAAAATACTTTTGGGCACAGTGTGGTGGTCAGTGCAGGTCAAGGACTATCCCCAGCAGGCAGTTTAGAAGAAGCAAGCCTGCTTTGACAGGCAGCTGAGAAGGGACATACGGATGTGACCAGTGCCATGTCTGTCCACCTCCATAGTCTACGGACTATGGAGATGTAGTGACCTTTATCTACAGCTCAAATCCACTGAAACAATAAGAGAATTCCCTGCAAACAAGTTCTAGCACCCAACTCCACAAAGCGCTGAGACTGTAAATGTGGTCTTACTTCTACATCTCTAAGTGGAAGGAATCGAGTATTTTGTTGGCCTGACATATGCACAGTTGCTAAAGGAGACTGCTCAATAAGGAGAGAGTTACTGGAGAGTTTATCTGCAAAGTTTTGAAAAAAGTTTGTAGAATATGCTCAAGTGACCATAAAATAAAACACAAGAAGTTCTACCTCAACATGAGGAAGAACTTTACATTGAGGGTGGCAGAGCACTGGAACAGGCTGACCAGGGAGGCCATGGAGTCTCTAGAGACATTCAGACATCACTCAGATACATTCCTGTGTAATCTGCTGTAGGTAACCCTTTCCTGGCAGGGTACCAGATGATCTCCAGAGTTCCCTTCCAACCCTAACTATCCTGTGATTCTGTGAAATTATAAAAAAAAAATAATATATTTAGCACCCTCTTTCCAACCTTTGGCATATGATTCAAAAGAAGAATTTTTCTTAAGAAGACATCACCAGATGTTTACTTATCATGCTAAAAATAATGCATGGCCTAAGCCTCATAATTTGAAAGAGGTGAGCTACTTTCATTAAAATTTCAAACATGCTCAATTCTAAGGTAAGATGTGAGGAAAATTTTGGGAATCTACTTTTGAAAACTGGTGGGCAACTTCAATTATGAGCAGAGCTATTACTGTTTAGGTTTGATCACTTTACAAAAACTGAGAAGCTGGTATTTTATTCTAGTAATGGCATTGAGGAGTTGTGATTGATTCTGCAGAAGTGACAGAGATGTATCTGGACTAGGCAAGAGAATAAAGCCTGCGAAATCAAACTGAATATATTTTTTGAGAGTTTATTTCAGCACTTGATAGAAAACTGTGGTAACCCTAACAGGAACAAAATTCAAGTCAATATTACAGAAAGAATAAGAAAAATCACCAGTGAATTTCCATGTCAAAGTACAACCATATACCATTCATTCTTTACATCTGTTGAAATTTGTACATGTTTCTGAAAGACAGACTGGCTTAGTTTGTTGGCAACCCACAACTATTTTGAAAGCGCAAATGAAACTAGGTTACTGTACTGTAACATAGTATGACATTACTATGAAAAACTCAAGACCCCTCCCTTCCTCTCTGATCTCATTTGAAGTGTGACAACATCAGATTGGCATTGCTAATGCACAGCCCCCCCAGTGTACACTGGGTCTCATTTTTGCATGCTCTGAACTAGCTTTCCATACCCTCTTCACTTCAGACCTGTAGATGTCAAGGACTTCTAGCCTTGAGTAGGCAGGAATAATTAGTACACATGAACAAAACACATTTATAAAAGACAACATTTTAAAACTAAATGTGCTTGGTCTTGGACCTTCTACAGTCTGCACATGATCTGCAGTTTGATCTCAGGAAAACTATTTCAGCTTCAGACAAAAACATTTGGAATTTTAAGAGAGACTACTGAAAAGTCCTGAGAACAACCTTAAGAACATTGCTGTTATAACTCAGTAAAATCCATTAATGTTTCCCATAACATTGAATCTAAACATGCATCAATGTGAACCATGAATGATAATTTCAAGTTGCAATATGGCCTAAAATTTCCAGATATCACAGAAACAAATGGTTGAGGTCATTCATGACACAACATTGCACAATGTAGAATAGAGTGCCTCTTTTTAATACGTATATGGAAATTCCAGAAGTGTGATGAGACAAAAGCAGATATATTTATTTGAATTAATTTATAAGACATGCTAAAGCTACTATTTAATAAAATAAAAACTGATTACTAGGTAAGAAAATCTTTTTTGAAATGCTTCCTCTTTTAAAAATGTACAAATTCCCTGCCGGCAATCTTACAAAACACACACATGCTGCAAAAATGAAACATACAAGAGGAGGAGCAATGACAAATTACCTCAGCTTTCATCACTACTTCACTTGATTGAAACTGTTCTCATGTTCCATTAAATATAATAATATATTTGGAAAATGTAAATAACCTAATTATATTTTCTTCTTTCAAGCTGCCAGGCACCAGTCATATATCGCAGTCGTATAAAAAGAAGATCCCTGCCCATCTGCAGCCAGCTCCAAACTTCTACTAACTTAGAACCTGTGATTAATGAAGAAGAAAATCAGGACATTATTAGAAAAAAATGAGCACTGGCAAGACACACACCTAAGCAGTCTTGAAACTCTGCATTTTCAGCACACTTAGTCACACAACCTAGATCTTAATATTAATAAAAATTTATATTTTGAAAGTTATGGCTTTATAGTAATTACATTAAGCTGCAGGTGGGAGACTCTAGTTTGCAAGCAGCACAGTAATTCCATGTATGTGACAAGATGCACAGTCTTCTCCATGACAGGAGTAAATAGGAACCTGAACACCAATAATTAGTCAAATGATCTTTTTATCAACTTTGGAGAAGAGGACCACCACCTTATCTTACAGCAGTAATATGAATGTGCCGATCTTCAGGCAAGTAAGGAACCTACACCATGAAACCAAGCTTTCTTCCATCTCTGCTAACATTTGTGATAGGTGTAATGCACGCGTGGAACTGCATCGAAAGGAAGCATTTCCTTTCTAGCAAAGCTGTCTCAGGATGTTCTCTACTTGCACCCTTCATCACCACTGCAGTTCATTGCACTATCTGTTGTTCAGGAGTTGTGTTGAGGGGAAGAGATTCAGATTGAGAAAAGACAAAAACACAAAAAGGGTAAAAAAAAATGGAGGAACTGCATTTGATGGGAGGTAAGTGAGCAGAAGCAAGCAGTACCTCTTCAGCTGGCTTTGCTATGACAAAATATGCATGGAGCTATACTTTCCAGTAACCCAGTGTCAGAGACCTCCCTACGGGTCTGAAAGAACATCACATCTTCAGAAGAGATGGTGCCCCAGAGGAGGCCTTAACAGCTGAGAATTCTGGAAGGCAAGACACAGTGAAATGAGTTGAATCAATAAGCGACAATGGTCAGACTTCCTGCACAGTGTTTTACAATTGCTCTATTTTTTTTAACACATTACAGCAAGAGTACATGTTAAAGTAGTGTTTTGTCCTAGCAGTATAACTACCTACTTTTGCCTCCAGTGGGAGTGCAGAGTTTCTCTCCCTTGTTACTCCTTCACCTACTCTTCCTGTACCAAGCCATGGAATAAGGCTGGCAAGGACAGGAAGTTCAAAATTTCTATGGAAAGAAGGCTGTATGTTATCAAAACTGAGTGAAATATGGGCAGAGCACTGGATACTTTATTCTGGATTGACATGTAAGGAATCTTACAAGAATATAAACAATTTGCTTACCTTCTATTTCAGTCCAGTTGTAACAGCAACTTCTGCTATAGGTATTTTCAAGCGCTGGGCTATATAAAGAAGTTCCACGTCAAACGCCCTGAAGAAGAAAAGGAAATAGAAAATACAGTCACACTTATTTCTAGAAGAAAGACAGCGGCAATGTTAATTAAATCCCTTGCCTGATTTAATTAGTATCAAGCGCATAACTGAACCAATTGTTCCATTTTACGCAGTTGATATCAGTGCTCTACAGGTCAGATGCACATGGAAGGGAAATTTATTTCTGACTGAAAATCTCAGAACACAGGCAATATACCATATTACAACATAGTAACATAGTAACAACAACACTTCACTGCATTCTGTTTTTGAAAGTATAGGTCATGCTGTATTCAGACCACTGCTCGCTTTTCATTGCGGCCACTATCGTGGTTTAAACATTTTTAAAGACATGAAGACCAAGCAGTCAAACATACAGGGTCATTCCACATCTTTAGGAGTTTCATCAAAGGGGACAACTACCTGCTGTGGCTTTACGCCAATTTGATGATCTCTCCTTGTACTTTCTAAGTCAAGAAACTCAAGGCAGCAGCACAGAAGTGAGAAATTACCTAAGTTACTGTGCATAACAAAACCTGAACAACAGTTTTACTTTATCCAGTGACCATTTAAAGCACAACACAGAAACCCTCTTGAGACACTTGTGTTTTTTGCTGGCACAATTTTTTGCAGGTTGTGCAGCAAAATGAACTGGGGAAGTGATCCTGCTGTAAATCAGCTGCCCCTTTCTGCCCACTTTGTCCAAAATATACCTCAATCCTCTCAGTTCTCTGCACAGAGAATTGTTTGTGTGTTTCATTGTTGCAACTGCATGCTCAAATGGGCCTTCTGGACCCGAAGCACTGAAGCTTTTGATATCAGACAAGTAGCTTAGCATCTTGTAATGCTCATGTAAAAATCAGCATATGAAACTGCCAGTAGCTACTATTGACAAGGGTGAATGCAAATCACAATTATGAAGATTCTGGTGATTTTTGTTAAATTTCTTAGATTTACTGACTGCTAGGTCTATTTTTTTTTCCTCTTTGTAGTCTTTGAATGTCACTAGGGATGTTCTTGTTCCTTCAATGAGTTTTAATAACTGGAATTTAAGCTAAACAGTCCCCCATTCCCCTCAGTAAGCAGCTTTTTAAAATACTAGTCCCTATTGGAAAAAAACCGTCAATGGCCTTCCACATGTAGTTTCCACTAGATTTAAAATATATTCAAATATAGAGGTTTTGGTTTTTTTTCCCCAGAAAACTAAACCTTGAAGGTTAAGGAACTGGAAACATTTTAGCCAAGCTGTTGGTAAGATTCCCAGTTTGAAGTCAAGGGAACAGATGTTCAAGGCCAGCTTACAGAGCAGTCTTGAAAATGCAGCTGTGAGGCAGTCAAGTACGATTCAACATTAGTCCACATTTTCTCTCAGTAACTTCTCAAGTTTAGATTCTCCTTAAATTCTCATTGCTAAGTCCAAGACATTTTTCTTTTAAAGTGAAAAAACACCTTCTCTTACTGGAGAAAATGTATGCAAAAAACCCCCACATTACTCATTCATGCTTCAAGGGTTGCTTGAATTCAAGTCATTGGTAATTCCATTTAACATTACAGAAAGGGTAGAAAGAGACAGACAGGTGATCAAGAGCAGGCACAGAGTCATACTTTAGCAGGCTGCTAGCCAAGTTCAGATGTTACTTCCTTCTACCTCAAACCACCCTTTCCTTTTTAGCAGTGTATTTCTACTAAACTATTAATGAATGCAACAACAGCAGTCAACTTTGAAATGTGCTGCAAAGGCAGCATAAACAAATGTTATCTACAGAGACTACGCTTACTGTGTATGGAGAGTTTAGAGCTATTTTCTAAATTTGATTTTGATCGGACACAGACCTTTTAATTGTCACCAAAACAGTTACAGGAATACATTTTTTTTTCCTTGGTGAATTGAATCTGCTCAAAGCAGCCTTGCCATTTTACTGCTTTCTTTAAATGAGGGCTGAATATTATTTCATTAATTACGCCACAGTCTCTTTTGCTGAAGTTATATTATTTAATTTTTTTGCTGACATTTTATGTTTGTAAGCCAAAACGTCCATGTATTCACCTTTGAATGTTTATGAATCATGTGTATTAAGACTAAACCTAATTTTGTAATACTTACTACTTAAATGACTAAAAATCTTAAGAGACGCAGAATAATTGTCTGATGAATTAGACTATATGAGCTCCTCTAAAAGTATTACTACATAAGGTATTAGCCTAGTGAACTGTTATTTGCAACAATTCCTGTGGACAACTGATTACAGGAATGTCAGCATATACACCACAGAACAACAACATTAAATAGTTCTGTGAACTACAGCGCTCAAAGTAAAAGATTAAAAGTACAGAAATTAATCAGGTTGAACACTAATATTGTTACATGTGGTTGCCATTTGGGTAACAGTGAACATATCCCAAAATTAAAAAAAAACCTATTCAAAGCTGAAGGGAGAATGACTTTAGTAGAATATCACTGGGGTATCTTTTTTCTTCCCTTTCCCCCACCACCCTTCAGTATACCAGAATAGTTAATCAGAGAATAAAGACCGCAGTATGTTCAATACGCTGATAGCATTACATCCATACTGCAGATCACCAGACACAGATGGTATAGAAGAACCATACAGAAGCTTCCACAGCCAGGATTTAAGTGTGGGTATGTCACATGGAGCCTGTCCTAGAGGAGATCAAAGCCACACCAGTGGATGAGTCGGTGAGTGCGATTTGCCGGGAAGCCATTTGTGACTAGTTAATATGAGACAAAAGCACTTTTAGACACAGCAAGGTATTACTCATACCATGTACTTCATCCTGCTGCAGAAACTGAAAGTAGGTGCCTCTTGGAAGAGGGACACACAGCTCAGAATACCTAAGTTTGGCTCCAGCCTGAATGAATTCAGGCTCCAAGCTAAGTTTAGATCCAAAATTTAGACACACAAAAATATATGGTGTGAACAATTTCCCCATCTATTTCTAACAGTGGCTCTATTATGTGTTAATTGACACTAATATGTAATGTGAAATAAAGAAAAATTTCTCCAGGTAGTTGTGTTTTGGTTAAGTTAAATTTAAGACAATGCTGGCTGAAATTCATTTGAACACCAAGTTGGTAGGTGTTTAATTGAATTCCATCCTTTTAAACTGAACCCTTAAAATGCTTGAGCTTATAAAATACGTATCCTGAAAAATTATTCTGTATTTTAAAATTGCACTAGGACTCTTCTTTTTTTCCTGGTCCTATATTATGAGTTTCAAAAAATAAATTCAGACCTTCAGTTATAAAGTTTTAACTGGAATTCAGGACTTTTGTACACTCATGATATGTTTTTCCAGTAAACTCTTACTGGGTAGAGAAAAATTCCAATAGTCAAAGAAGTCTGAGAATGAAACAAGATGTCAAATGGGTTAGTCTGCCAGCACTGCTCTAGCTAAACTGGGGCTTTTGAAAGTCCACATATTTGTGTGCCAGGAGCAAGACTTTTTGTAAAACAAAAGAGACAAAGTTAAAATAGCAAAATGTTTTTGTGTTGATTACACATTAATAAACAATTCTACGTGCCATGCAGAAAACCAGGAAAAAAAATCATTCCACTGCTTGTGTTGGTCTACAATGCCAAAGAAGTGGGAAAAAAATCCCTGTAGCAATATGAATGCTTATTTTTCTGTAATTTTTATATGGTGAGTCACATTTAGAGATTAGTGACAAACTGGATAAACAAATGTTAATTTTTTATATTGATCTTTCCAGTTTTCAAAGTGAAATAGCATGGCTTGTTCAGTGCACAAGGCAACTTTTATAGACAAAAGTAATAGCAACCATTTGATCTAACCAGTGATCTCCTGGCTTGGGTAATATCATAATAAATTGCAACTTCACAAAAGTTTGTCAATCAAACCAGGACTAGAACTATGTTTTTTATCATTATTCCAGGTAGGACAGTAATCGCTGCTATGTCTGGTTCTCCTAAGGATGGACGTTTTCTGGCTGGAAGGAAATTTATAATTTCGTTTGGTTGTCAGAAGAAAGCAATGATCAAATTTAGGATAGGAAAATTCTGCCAGTGAGACCATTTAATTTTCCAATATTTCTCCTGTGCACCAAAATTTAACACAGTTACATTTCTCAAGTCAAGACTGTAGATGCAGAACTAGACCTTCTTTTGTAGCCTGAAGTAATTACAACTGTCTCTGTTATGTTTTTATAATATCTCTTTTAATTTTCTTTTAAGTCTTAAATTAAAAAATGTGCTCCATCCATTTCTGAAAAACAGATTAATGGTGTAATCAGATTCAGAACCTAAAACACAAAGCATATGCTCTCTGTTCAAAAGGTTGCTCTCATTTCAAACTAATGTCAAAACACTGCTATTTAGAAAGTAAATTTCAAGAACGTTTGGTTTGCATTCATATATACAGAGCCAGCTCTCCAAAGAACAGTTAAACAAAAAGACAATGAGAACACTCACTAAAAAGCTAGTTTAGGATTTAGGCATTACTACTTAATATTGAATATATAAACAGTTTGCAAAATCTATTGATTTTCAAATTCTTTCTAAACTTTAAGGGTAGATTAACAAAATATTCTAGGAAATATGTTGGTCTCTCTTTAAAAAGTGTTACATGATCCTTATTGCCATAATGATAAAACTGTAATTTTTCCTTGTATACTTCAGTTTCCTTTCAAGATTTCCTAAATATAAGCAACTATAAATCAAATTCACCACAGCAAGAAGAAAAATGTGGTCTGTTTCCTAGTATTTTCAACATTAAAGAGGTGATATTGCCATCAATGTCCACTGGAATGGAAAACATGAAGAAAGCATAAAAAAGTGAAGGTCTAAGCAGGTAGGAATTACTGGGTAGCTGATTTTATAGTAATTTTATATTAACATGAGTAAACACGTTTTGCATGAATTTTAGTCTAAATATTTGTTATGTGCTCACATAAGAATTCACCTAGCATTGTAGTACCCCAAAAAATCCAAGCATGACAAAACTTGAGCAGACAGGACA